GTGGGCGGAGCCTAGTCGTGTTGGGGTTCATTTTGAAGCTCATGATGAGCTGAATTCATTGAAAGCTTGTTGAAAACTGACTTAATTCTTCAAAAGTTCAAAATTTTGAAAATAAGATAATTTGCAAAAGTTCCTTTTCAGCTAAAAATCGCTCAAAATCACTCAAATTTTTTCAAATTTCTCGCATTGCTCAGTTTTAGATTGTGACAAAAAATACCTTATATCCAGCGATTTCGCCAATTCATATCCGGCCCGTGTGACATAGACATCCTGGACCAAATTGAAGTCAACTCCGTTTCGTGTGCATTCCAGTGGGACCTGAAAAATAGCGGGATTTGGTTGAAAATGACTTAAATTTTGCATTTTTCAACTCAAAATATGTTTAAAATGAAGAATTTTGACCTAAAAAACCTGAAATCCGTCAATTTTGGCTCAAAATGGCTCAAATTTTTTGAAATTTTCGAGGATTACTGTACCTCTGTGTAGCTGTGATAGTTCTTATCACCCGTACACACACGAGCCAGCCGCGATTGAATCGGCGAATCGTCGTGTATCGTTTTGCGCTGTCTGGTCACAAAATACGCATAGTCACCCGACTCGAATCCATTGATATAGTCGATTCTGGAAAATTAACAAAATTTGGATTTTGAAATTCCTGATCCAGACTTAATATTCAGAAATTCTTACTATCAGAATCTTCTTCAGCACGTTAGAAGCTTCAAAAAAGCCCAAACACGACTAGACTCCGGCCACTTTGAATTTTCGGGCGCGTCGCGGTCGTGCGTCGCGTGTCTCGGCGAAATTTCAAAGTAGGCGGAGCCTAGTCGTGTTTGGGCTCATTTTGAAGCTGATGACAAGCTGAGCGTGAATCCAGTGCTAGTTTTTTAAAATTTCCAATTTTTCTGAAATTTTCCGCCAAAAAAAAAAAAGAAAAAACTCACTGATACTTATAATATCCTCTACTACGGTAGTCCAGCGAGACGTGCGTACCACCGTATAACCCGGGAAATACAATTTCAAACGCTTTTTGTGGTCGGAGGAATAGTGAAGACACCGACATTCGATCGTGATCCTGAAATTTGAAATTACAAAAAATTTCAAATTTTTTTTTTCAAAAATGTCAAAATTCTTAATTTTCAGCATTTTTTCAACGTTTTTTGTATTTTTGAAGTCAAATTTGCATTTAGCTCATTGAGAGCTTTAAAATGAGCCCAAATGCCAATCAG